GGGAAGCCTGCTTCTCCCTCTCCCACTCCCCCTGCTTGTGTTCCCTCTCTCGCTGTGTCTCTCTCTCTGTCAAATAAATAAAAAATCTTAAAAAAAAAAAAAATTAAAAAAAAAAAATCTAAAAAACAGTTTCATCAATTCCATGATTACTTATCACTTTAACATCTCATTAGCATTATGCAAAAAAGCAAGATACATAATGTATACATGGAGCATAAGCGAAAGTTCAATACATAGAGGGAAAAAAAGACAACAAAAATCACCAAATGGTTAGGAATGATTCCATTACAGTGCGGCAAAGGCAGTCTAGTCTTTAGAGAATTTATTTTCCTTTTCCTCTTGTTGCCAGTGTGTCTTTGATGTATATATTAAACTATTTACCTAAGGAAATATGTCCTGAACTTAAATTTCCCATCATTCATTTCATTTTGGTATAGTTATCTAATTTAGGTAAGCATTATAAGATAATAATATAAACCAAAAACAAACCAAAAAAATCAGCAAGTTAGAAACTTTCAACTCAGTGGGCTGGTTGTTTTAATTTCTAATTATTGTGTATTATTAGTGATAAAACATTTAAAACACGATAGATTGTTCATTGTCAACCAAATAAAGCCCTTATTACCTGAAATACAATAGGAATCTTTCAAAAAGGGTATCAAAAAAGTACATATATGTTACCTCGACTTGTATAATTCATATCAAAGTAGACTTGCATCTTAATGGTGTCCAGGGATGGATTTTTACTATCCAACAGCCGAGACACACAAAGCTAGAAAAGAATGCCCATGAATGTTTCTAGTTATATTTTCTGGAATACTCAGAAGCATTTTTTAAAGGTATTTTCAAAAAAATTAAGACAATCATCTAAGCAATGGTTTCTGATGTTTATCCACCAATAACCTCTTCTATTATTATTTTGCTCCTTGAGGACTTCATGCTTCATAGTTTACCCAACGACAACAGGAAGTAATAAGTTATTTCCCTGAGATCAATAATATCACCATACTCAGGGGGCTAACAGCCCAGCTGAAGGCAAGAAACTTGACACCTTGGCTAGTCTATGCAGTCTGAATGTGGGTAAGTGCTCCATGAAGGTTACACTCCTGTCCAGAGCTCACCTAGAGCTCCTCATTACGATTTATTTGAACCTTGAACAACACTTCTTTGCTGATTTGGGGGGTTACTTGCATTTTATGAAAAGCTGTTCCTCTGCTCACAACATTTCTCTAGCTTTGCCTTCTATTTCAGAATGTCTTCCTCTGGTCTTTTTCTCCCACTTTCCTCCCACATAGATGGCTCATTCCACTTCTCTGCCTTGTCCCTTTAGATTAGATGAACAACCTGAATTTTTCTTTTCTCTCCTCTCCTCCCCTCTCTTCCCTGTCTCACCCCTTAGGCTTTATATCTACAGCTGGCAGGCACATCAGCACCAACAGCCTCCATGCCCCTCCCTGAGCACCAACCCTGCTCTTCCACAATGGGGGGGGGGATGGAATGCAAGAGTGAGGCCTGGCCACTGTGCCCTTATGGATGCAGCCTGCGCACCTGCATCTGTCCAGGTGTAAGAGTATTGTTCTCAACACAGACTTTACAAATACAAAAATGAGCTCATCTACATGATTTTTTAAAAAAGATTTTATTTATTTATTTGAGAGAGAATGAGCGAGAGAGAGAGCACAAGCTGGGGGGAGAGGCAGAGGCAGAAGGAGAAGCAGACTCCCCACTGATCAGGGAGCCCGATGCAGGACTCGATCCTAGGACCCTGGGATCATGACCTGAGCCAAAGCAGATGCTTAACCGACTGAGCCACCCAGATGCCCCTCATCCACATGATTTTTAATTGAGAAAAAAGAAAACAGCCTGTGTCCTATGAAGCAGGATGTACATTGATAATTTAGGTACCTGTCATATTAAAAGTATATTGAGTTTAATTCTTTCCAACTTAGTTGAGTTAGAGGAAAAAAGAAAAACTCTTCTTGAGCCCTGAAAAAGAGAAAAATTTATTTTCTGCCTCTCCTTGATTCTCCTTCAGAGCTTTCCAGTAAAATTTCTGACTGACCGTCAGAGTCATTTTGCAAAGTCTTATTGCTAAGAACAGGTTTCCCACCACATTTAAAATCAACACAGAAAGACCTAGTTCTAGGCTGCCCTGGAGAATCACGGCACTTCTACTGCAGAAGCATCCTAATAACAGATTCCCCAGCTCCAGGTTTCCAAAGCTCTTCCTGATCCCTCTGGCATCTGCAATATAGACCTGTGCTCCACTATATGAATTGCTGGATGTGAGAGAAGATGGGGATGATGAAAATTTTCTCTGCCATTTGTTTGAGCCCAGAGGATACCCATATACAAGCCTGGGAAAGCTTGCTGCAAGTCCTTTGTGTGAAGGAAGGAATTAAAATCATTAAGCCGGGGAGAAAAAAAAATAATGTTGAATTTTTAAGAAATACATCTAGGAATATTTAGAAAATAAATATGTAAGCACCTATATCCAGTGAGTCAAACTCAAAACATGTGAAAAAATGGGGCACCTGTGTGGTTCAGTCAGTTAAGCACCTGACTTCGGCTCAGGTCCTGATCCCAGGGTCCTGGAATCGAGTCCCGTGTTGGGCACTGTCCCTCTGCCCTTCCCCCTCCTCATGCTCTCTCTCAAATAAATAAATAAAATCTTCAAAAAAAAAAATGTGAAAAAACTAGTGATGTCTAAAATTCCTGCCTTCTGGGCCGCCTGAGTGGCTCAGTCGGTTGAGCATCTGCCTTTGGCTTGGGTCGTGATCCCGGAGTCCTGGAATTGAGTCCCACATCAGGCTCCTTGCTCCACAGGGAGCCTGCTTCTCCCTCTGCCTCTCTCTGTCTCTCCTGAATAAATAAAATCTTTTAAAAGATAAAAATAAAAATAAAATTCCTGCCTTCTTTGGTTCTTAAAACTGGTTTTCAGGCACATATCCTTGATTTCTAACTATGAATTATTTGCTGTGGTTTCAATGTTTCCTTTAGAATTGAAAAACACAAATGACATTGAATCAATCATTATCTGAATCTTAATATAGTGCTATGTAATTTTATAGTATATGACAAGTCAGTTAATGTTCTCAATGTAACACGAGATTCATAACAAGATGTCTCTAAACTACTGTGGCAGACATTGTTACCTGCCAGGATCCATACCTCATCCTTCCTTACTAAAAGCCCCAATCTGGACTGGGGAAAAGATTTGTTCAGCTGAAAAAAGAAAAAGAAATCAATGCCCCAGGCTCGCTTGTGGTATCATTCTGGTCAATAAATGTAAGCAGATGAGAAAAATTCTGAGAAAGCTATTACTTTCTGAATAGAAAGTGACAGACCCAATTGGCACACACATTTTGCCTTTTGTTCTTTCCCCTCATACCTGCGGAGAGATGGAGTAGCTATCTTGTAACCATGAGATGAAAGAAGGTGACCCAGGAAGCCAAGAAAAACAATGTATCTCTAGACTTTATGAGAAACAATAAATCTCACATTTGCCTGCACCACTAGTTGGTAGGGTTTTGTATCATGACACTCAAGGCAATAATGGCTCATACAAATATTGTATTCAGAATTGCAAATAAATAATTTAAAATTTGAGAATTGTTGTATAATCACCTTAACGAGTTTCTGTACATCACTTTTCATGAGGGGTCTATCCATGTTAAAGCCATTACTTGGGTCCAAGACAACAGCTTTCACCTGAGAGTAGGAAAGAACCTATTAAATAATTCTATTTCACATAATTATGAAACCAGTTTGTTTCCATTTTTTAAACTGCGTCCTGATTACTCAGGGGTCAATTATTCAGCTGATTTTCTTATTACCCAATTCATCAGCACCTTCATTAGAGGTTGAAGAAAGGAAGCAATAACCATCAAATTTGAATATGGGGTTTGAAAAATTATACGGAGAAATAAATTAAAAGCAGCGACTAGATTTTAAATTGGGAAACTATTTGAATATTTTATCATATTTTTATTATGTATTGTTAAATCAAAAGCAAGAATAGAGAGACCGAGGCAATGAGTAATTTTTACAACAGTAGACAAAAATACATGTTGCAACTCTGACACAGAACAACATTATCGATGCTTCTAAAACAAATCAAGATCTTCTCAATCAGTCTCTATAAATCCAGAATGACATGCTTCATAGAAAAAATATTTTTTGCTAAGTAGTCCAATGGTCTCAATATGTTTTCAACTGAATAACATTTAGAAAATTTTAAGAGGGAAATGGGCACCGCTTAAAGCTACTTTTTAATAAAGCAGTAATTCAAAAAATATTCATTCTTACCATAAAAGCAGCCAGAGTTTCAGAAACAATCTCTCCATGGCCTGCACATTCTTGTCCTATTTCTCGAATGATATTCTTTATAACACTTTCTGCCTGAGTGGGAGGCATTCTGGCTAAATAAAACAATGATTGTTTTTTTAAAAAAAATGTACTTACATGTGATTTTTTTCCTCTTTAGATTTCTCATTATATTTGTAAAGAGTCATACTATTATTTATTAACTTATTAGTATTTATTAGCATCTATAAAAATAAAAAAACTGTTCTATATAAAAATAAAGGACTTTGTTGATGACAGAAAGAGCAACGAGGACTTCCAACTGGGCTTGAAATGTTTCCTATTTTGTGAAAATGACATAAAGTAGAGCCATTCTTAAAACAGAGCTGGAACAGGTATTTCAGGGAACTGCCTAACATGTCCTCTTTTCTAAATCTTTGAACTAAGCCAAACTATGAACTTTTTGACTAGCGATTACTTAAACTGACCAATGACTGATGTACAAAACTAGCCCTGCTTGTCAGCACCAGTGAGCTCCTCTTAAAAACAACTTATCTAAACTTTTTTCTTCCATAAAAACCCTGAGTCCACCTCCTTTAACTGGCACACTATTTGGGTTTCTACCTAAATCTGTACATCCCCAATTGCAATCCTTTTATCGCAAATAACCGCTTTGCCCCTTGAAGTGGTTTCTTGTTTTTAGGTTAACAATTTAAATGACAGTGGTCACCAAAAGTGTATTTATATCATGAATGTTTTTTTAAATGTGCTGACTAAACAGTATTGGGGAGGTAGATTTAATGAGAAACCCCAGCCCTATCTGTGCAGGTGGCAGAGTACGGTTCTTAGGAGGAAATGCTTATTCCACCACATTCACTAAGTGATCTTTCAAAATTATGTGGAACTCTTGGAAAACAATTCTTGCTCGGATCATCTAAATTCTCTTTCCTGCACATCCAAGTTGGAGTTTGGACTTTTGACTAAAAACATAAAAGCAAAATGATAATAATGATAATAATAATAATAAAGCATATTACATGAAATATGAAAATTTTGAAAGATGAACTCCTAGTTATTAATTCCATTTACTACAAATCAGTAAATACGTTTTAATGATACTGAGTTTCCCATCTTTCTAAGCATCAGTAACTGAGCACAGGAAGTCTTGTAACAAAGGCAATCGGGGTAGATAAAGCTAACTCTCAGCATTATTAGAGTTCAGATAATGTAGCACTTGGCATTTTGTCCAGTAAGAACCAAACTGCCTGGGATCCGTGGTGACCTGATCATATTCTAGCTGAGACCCTGGGCATTTTGTTTCCCTCTCTGTGAGCCGGTTTCCTCTGAAAAATTTGATATGACTACCACCATCTCCCCAGAGTTGTCCCAAGACCTAAGTGAGTTCTATATACCTAGCGGTTAAAACAGTGCGTGGCAAAAAGTAAGCGCTTAAAACAGCAGCTTGCAACAAGTACTCCGTGTTAGCAGCGCGTGTGCGCGTGTCCGTGTGTGCGTGTCCGTGTGTACGCGTTCGCGAGCGCTGCCAGGCACCGCGCAGGGGGTCGCTACAGACTCCCCTCGGTACCCTTCCCCGCCCCACTTCTCCCCCTCTCCGGATTTCTGGCCTTTGGGGTGCGAGCGGCGCCCGGCAGAAGCCCGAAGGCTCGGACGCCCGGTCAGAGCGAGTTCGAGGTCTGATCGGCAGACCTGGGCGCCTCCGACCGGAAACGACCTCTGTTTCCGCCGGGTCTGGGCGCTGCCAAAGGAATTCTGACCGACAGTTAAGTCTCAACCGAGGCTGCACGGGGTCTCCAGCCGCAGGGGCTCTACCTTCTCCCCACGCTCCCTCCTCTCGCGGTACGCCTCGGGCTGAAGGGCGCAGAGCCCCAAGTGGGCTCACCTTGGCTTGGAGAGCTAGAGCCCAGTCTATCCGATTCTTTCCCTCTGACCCCGCTTTGCCCTGCCTTGGGGCAAGCTGCGGGTATTCCGCGTCGGCCCAGTAACCATGGAGATAGAACGCTGGGGACGGAATGGGTGGGGCCGGCATGGGCGGGGCCAAATGGGGGCGTGGCCGGGCCCAAACTCCGGAGGATGAGCAAGAATTTTTAAAAACAGAAACTAACAAACAAAAAAAAGGAAGGTCCCAAACCCCAGGTAGAGAAAGGCAGGTTCACTACACGTTAGTGGTTAAGAGTGTCAAACACAAGATTTCTTAATGATATTTACTTGTGAAAAAATTAATAAAGAGAAACCTCACTGAAAGCGGACTTGGGAGGCTAGAAAGGGAGCCTGGAAGAGGGAGCCCCCTATCACTCCACCATTAAATTATAGGAAGAATTGTCAATTACAGACCCTAATAAAAGAATCCTCAAAAGGAAAGAATCATCAATTACAGGCCTGAACAGGGAAAGACATACATTGTAGCCTATAAGAAATTGACTACCCCTGCAACTCAGCCAATGAGAAACCCATATCCGCCTAAACTCTTGCTTTTCTCCAATGGACTTTTATTGAAAACAACCCCTCCCAACTTCCTCTTTCTTCTCAATAAAATAGTGTTCCTTTCCTTTGTTGGTTTTGCCTATGGTTTTGTGTAACTCTCCTGTCCCAAATTGCAGTTGTCTGTTATTCCTGAAAAAAACCATTTTGCTGGTAAACTAACTGGCAACTTTATTTTTAAGGTTCAGACCTTCTAGTGTGGGAACCTATATGGCCTTTAAAAGGGAGCAAGGGGGAGGCACGAGCCAGTTTGGAGAGGATGGAAAAATCGAGAGATTGTATGTTGTATGGAGCTTATATAAAAGTAAATAGTTTTAAAAAACAAAAGCAAGGGGCGCCGGGGTGGCTCAGTTGGCTCAGTGTCTGCTTTCCCTGGGGTCGTGCTCCTGAGGTCTTGAGGTGGTCTGCATTGGGCTCGCTGCTCCTCCCCCGTGCTTCTCCCTCTCCCTGTGCCTGCGGCTCCCCCTGCTTGTCCTTTCCGGAGGCGGCACGCTCTTTCTCTCAAATAAATAAATAAAATCTTAAAAAAAAAAAAAACTATTAAAAAAAAGCAAAAAGGATCACAGTTTAATTTCATGTCCTGTTCAAAGGAAGTCTGTAACAGGGTGGTGTAAGATGACAGAAGAGAAAACATGGTAAGGACCACACCTTGACTGGAGTTGAGATAATGAGGTTTTGTTCCTTAACAGTAAGTGGACCTGCACAGTTCAAACACAGGTTGTTCAAAGGTCAACTGTACAGAATATACTTTGCTTAAAGACATTCTCAGATTACTAGGAAATGAATAAACACAAAAATGCACAAGTCATAGTATAAAAGGATCTTAACTTATTTTTCCCCTTCTGGAAAATTTTCCTACAATGTGGATGAAGCTTGTGCAAAAATAGATGTGTAAAGTAGCAAGATAAATAGCGAAACATTGGAAATCTAAACACCTGAAATTTAAGGAATGTTGATAAAGGGAAATATTAGACATATTAAAAATAATGTGAACAAAAACCTTAAGTGTTTGTCTTATGTTTTTAAGAGCTAAATGCAAAATGTATATACAGCATAACCTCAATTATATTCATACATATGCATATATAATATATATATAAAGTGTATAAAAATTTACCAGTATTAGATCTGAGTAAGGGTAAGTTATTATTCATTTTATTTTATTTATTATTTGAGTATGGCTAAGTTATTATTTTCATTTCTTTATACTTTTCTAGTATTTCTAGATTTTCTTTTTTTTAAGATTTTATTTATTTATTAGAGAGAGATAGAGATAGCACAAGCAGGGGGAGAGGCAGAGGGAGAGGGAGAAGCAGGCTCCCCGCTGAGGAGGGAGCCTGATGGGGGACTCTATCCCAGGACCCTGGGATCATGACCTGAGCCGAAGGCAGAATCGTAACCAACTGAGCCACCCAGGCGCCCCTAGTATTTCTAGATTTTCTGTAATGAGTATATATTGTCTATAAGACAAAATGAAGAAAAAAAAATAATGGGGAGAGGAGCTAGCTATTTGTAGAGACTGAGCCCAATTTGGAAACTCTAAATACACAAGGTAAAACAACCAAAAGGAAAGTGAAACAGCAAAGTTTTAACAGTGGTGATACCTAGGCAATGAGATCATGGAGGTTTTCTTCTTTATACTTTAAGATATCTACTGAAATGTCTTTCATGAGCATATATTACTTATAAATTAGAATATTAAATATTTTTAAGATGCTAAGAATAATGTCATCATGTTAAGTATAATTTTAGATGAATAGGCAAATCCTGGCACAAATATTTCCTGAATGTGTCTGATGCTGCTAATTGCCCATTTAATATCAATTTTCTTTTCTTTCTTACTAAACCTGATTGTGTGATTGTGTTGTGAATGACAATGTTCTGTGCTGAAAAAAAAGAAAAATGTATCTCACCCCCTCTTTCAGCTAGGGGTGGTGGCATGTGATATGGTCCTGGTCAGTGAAATACAGGTGAATCACTGGATAGGGTGTCAGAGAAAGCCCTTTCATTGTATGTCTGTCTCTTTCCCTTTTTCTGCTTGAAATGAGAATGTACTGACTGAAATTCCAGCCTTATTGTGAACATGAAGATGAGGACCACACCTTAAGCAGGGCGGAACAAAAATCAACAAAGGAGCCTGGGTCCCTGGTGATATTATAGAGCATTCGTATCAGTCTTCTTGACTAACTACCTCTGGACTTCCCATTACAACAGAGAAAATAAACCTCTACCTCATTAAGCCATTGTTATTTAGGTTTTCTGCTACATTCGGCCAAATTCAAACCCTAACTGCTACCTACAATAGATGTGCCTTTGGAAATATTAGTTAGCCTTTTGTGCTACACTGAATTAGTGGTTCTAATTCCTCACTCCCCCCGGCATGCACAGCCTTACTACGGACTTGTATCCTTCCGCCCCCTTTGACTTCGAGCTTAGCTATAGGACTTGCTTTGCCCAACGGGATATGTGGAAGTGACAAGTGTCCCAAGTTCAGAGCCATGGCCTTAAGGGACCCCACATTTCTTCTTTCCCTCTTGAACCATGCCATTGCCATTAGAAGAACATACCCTGGCTAGCTCTTCGGTCCCAGGAGAAGAATGAGGGGCAAATGGAGCAAAATTGCCTGAACCAATCTTTCAGTGAGATATATAGCTATCCAATTTGGGCCTGACCTAGATCAGCCCAACTCCAGACAACCTATAGATGTGTGATAATAAATTAGTATTGTCTTCAACCACGAAGATTTTTGGTTGTTTAGTATACACTATTATAGTGGTAATAGTTCATCTGTAAATCTTTCAACAGTCCAAATTTTTCATTATAAAAGAGATAATAATAGCATCTACCTCACAGAGTTGAGCATAAAATGAGGTAATACTTG